TACCCTGCTTGACTAAACTCTGTACATGGTTGCCCTGCTCAGGCATGGTCAGTATTCCATAGCCTTGCCGGAGAAAACCATTTGTAAAGGACATGTTTGGCTAGCAGGAAGAGGCTGCAGAGTTCTAGTTCTGGGCTAGACTGGGAGCGTCCAGCCTCTGCCTGGAATTCTTAGTGAGGCTTCGATGGGTAGACTTCAGCCTGGTGGTGCTCAATGGGCAGGAGTCCAATGTGGCCGACATTTCCTGGGCACTCTTTGGCAAAGCGCGGGAGCCGCACACGGGGACCGCCCGCGGGGAGCTAATTTGCATGGTGGGACGACCGTGCACCAGCTTCTTCGAAGTGACCTCTGCTAGGAGTCCCATCCAGTGAACCTTTGACAGGCCTAAGTGACCTCAAACTGGGATATACTGAAATACTGTAGATCAAAAGGTCCCTTGAAAAACCGGGTAGGTGGTGACTTGCTCAGGTCTTGCCACGCCACACCAAGCGGGATGGTTTTTGACCGCTGGTGTTTGTAGATGGAATGTACTTCTGTAGGCACCCAGGACAGGTTCTACACGGACCTATAGTACATACCCGGTGTACTCTTATATACATCTGATGTCTTGACCTCAGCTCCACGTGTGACATGAACTCCGGCACGTGGATGCGGAAGGTCAAGAAGCCTTGAAGTTCAAAGCAGCCACTTGAATCATTGCCTTTCCTTGCTCATGACCTGTGCGGAAAATCGCTTGCTGGCCGGCTGGCCAAGGCGGGAGGAGGCGCCGACGTCGGTCGGCGCCAGGTGCAGAACATCTTGGAACTCATGATGTTCTTGTTGATCTCCTTGGGCTGGAAGGCACGTGACGGACCCGAAAAGACACAGTCATTTCGCTGACTCCACTCAGGAGGCTTCTCAGCCTGGGCGGACCGGGTGACCGAGCTTTGGCCAAGGGGGCAGCGGAGAAAACACATTTGGCCCCAAGATTGCGACAGATCATGAGAGGCTCTGCTCCGATGGTCGGGTGCCCCTGGAGGACCAGAACCTTGAAATACCCTGCCGACCCCCGAACCTATATATACATTGATTGAGTGGAGAAATGACGGGAGTTTCGGTGGATCTCTTTCTTCCCCACTGAGCATCCAAAAAGGAAGGCGGCACCCATTCGCATCACACGGACATTCCCCGAGCTGTTGGGCGCATGGATCCGCCCCCACTGGGCGACCGGTTCCCAGATCCGACCGTGGAATGGCAGGACCCATCCCACTGCCACGGCAGGTGCTACGTGCAACGCTGGATGTGTCAGAGATACGCTTTGCCGTGGCTATCTCCATTATCTCCTTTTACCTGGGCATTTTTCAGGCACGGGAGTTGCGGAGTTGCACGTGTGGCGACTTGTGGTCCAGCTTGGCTGAATGGCGGCCTTGGACTAGTGACTAGATCTGACTTTATGCTATGTTATGCTTTCGTTCAGCTCAACCTGGCCGGCAAGGTTGCATGTACAACGCCCTCGCAATGCAGTGGCTATCAGCTCAGCCGGCTCATCTTGCATGCGCTTTGTCACCTGCCTGTGCTCGTCTGTGGATTCATGTCTTCGAGGTTTGTGTGGGGGATACGCTCAAAAATTCTGGCATATTCAGGCAGATGAGAATGGACCACACAAATTGGATCAAGAAGGTGAACATGAAAGTCGATCAGAATCAGATCAGCAAGATTCCTACTAAACATCCTCATCCACTCTAAACTCTAAATATGGCCTTTGTACAACTTTGGGCTGTTGGTTGGTTGATGAATCGAGGGGATACCAAGTGAACAACCAGTAGGTACCTGAACCCCATTGGTCAATCGTCATATGCCTGGGCATTTATGCGGGACGAGCGACATCTGATGTTTGGCTACTCCATTTTGATTTGTGGATGTGGGCTCTGCAGAAGGACCGAGGTCTGCTGGTTACATCCTGCACCGCCCGGAGATTCCACTGAACATGGTGACATGGTGCGGTGATTTGATCTCAGGTTGTCTTCTGAGATTTCTTCGTATCAACTCAAGTAGGTCACTAGCAACTAGCAGCTTGAGTGCCAGCCATGCCGAGGTTACCTGGTCATCATCGTGGCTTGGCGTTCAGAGCATGTGGGTCACGAGCACAGAGAGATGTTTAGGAAAGGGCAGAGTAGTTGTGTACCAACATTGGGTCATATGGAAACTCAGCCTTGATCATTGAAGCATGCTCGGCCACCCCAAATTTTCTTTGAGGTGGCCATGAACTTCAATTTACAGAAGCTGGCATCGGCCATTGCTGACGCACCTGCGACTGTAGAGAGTGGGAAGCTCTACCGGAAGTTGGATGCCTACCACATCTTCCGCTGGGTCTTTTGGCTGCACTTTTCCAGAACCATCGGAGTCTACACGCGCTTTTCTGGGAAGACTTTCCAGCAAGGTACATGGGTACTTATGAGCATCCATAGTATCATCCGGTGGTTGTATCAGTGCATGATCGTGAGGAGTCTTCCTGTTTCGAATTATGTCATCATGTCACGAAAGGTAGCCCTTTAGGGGATACCTTGAGTTTGACTTGCGAAGCAAGTGTCGGCGAGTCCGGGTCTAATAGTTGATCATTCAATTCAACCCCCGCCCTGCCCCCTTGGAATTGATTTTTCAATACAGACCCCCCCCCCTCTAAATTCAATTCTCTCATTCTGTCCTGGAGAACGTTTGCGTGAGCGTCTCATCTCTCCTGGAGAACGTCTTCGTCAGCCTCTCAGGATTTCAGGATAGTTGAAACCCTTGGAACATTCAAAAAGAGTGCATACGATTGCACACGAAACTCTAATCACGAAAGGTGTTCCCTGAGGGGATACATACCTAGAGTTTGTTTTGTGAACCACGTCAATTTTCTCCTGGGGAACGTCTTCGTAGACCTCTTAATTCAATTCTCTCCCGGAGAACGTCTTCGTGAGCCTCTCATGATTTCAGGATCGTTGAAACCCTCTTGAACATTCAGAAAGAGTGCAAATGAAATTCTGATCACGAAAGGTGTTCCCCGAGGGGATACATACCTAGAGTTTGTTTTGTGAACCACGTCAATTCTCTCCTGGGGAATGTCTTCGTTTCGTGAGCCTCTTCTGCTTTCAGGATAGTTTAAATCCTATGATGCTCCGATTCAATGCTCACCGATGATCTGAGCCATGGGGCAACGTTGTTTTCCTAAGAATCTTTTTGAACATTTCGACAGCATATGAGCAACGGCTTCTATTTGCGGTAGTGGTGATTAGTCTAGGGGCATTCCTTTTCTACAGCCCAATGTCAGAGTTAGTTGGCGAAACGAGGTAGGAACACCATGTCGAATCTTGCCTTTTTGTTCCTGCCTCTCGCCTTCTCTTCTTTTCCCGCTGTCCTACCTTTCGTGTGTCCCTCCTCTCAAGTCGAGTCTAGCTGTTTCTGAAATTGATACGGGAAAGAGATTAAGGGAAATAGATTATCCGCAGAAGGGGTGGCTTTCCTGCAGCTTGATGCGAGGTTTTCTTGCTTTTCATCATTGCCCCAACCTTCGAGCTCTTCCTGATGCTTGGGCTCACGATCATTCTGGGGCTCCCGTGGTTCTGGGACCAAGTTCTCACCCTCCTGATGATGTCTGTAAGTGGGAGCAAACTAACCCGGTTCTCAGCAGAAAGCTTCATAGCGGGACCAAACTGACCGGGCCCCCCCCCAACTGCACCACGTCTGTCCCGACTGATCCCGACAGGACTGGTCCTCCCACACTGTCGTCTCGGCCGGCTCCGACGACTACTAGACCGACGGGCCAGTGATCACTCCTGAACTAGACTCTTAGACGTAAGCATGCTCCGTTCGTAGCGATGCCAGGAGCCCCGACTAGTAGCGTCCGATCGCTCCTAGTAGTAAGGCCAGGAGCCCGTTTCGTAGCTTCTTGTTGTAAAAAGACCAAAAAAGGCTCCCAAACTCGAAAAGATGAATGAAGAGTCCACAGTCCACATGGGTCACCTGGGAAATGTTCTCTCAGGAAGGTGACCATCATCCCTTGGGATCAGCAGTGGCTCTTCGTGCTGCTGCAAGAGCTTCGGACCTGGGTCACCTGGGCGGCGGTTCGTCGGTCGGAGTTGATGTTGATGGCAACTCTTGGTCAATCTAAGCGAAGCTCTGGTCTAAGCCCCGTCCTGGTAGCCCAAACTGGCTACACGTCTTGATCACTTCTGCAATATTTTGCTGCACTTTGAGGTCATTTATGTGCTCCTCATCTATGCTTACCGGCCAGATCCGACCCCTTTGAGAGTGTTTCAGCTCACTGAGCGAGAGGCCAGTGACCAGGACGAGTAGCGAACGGGGAAGGCTCGGCTCGATGGCTGGACCCCCATGTGGCGCAGCAAGCAGCACTAAGCAAGACCTTGCGGTTTGCCAGTGGAGGCAGGCATCCACATCTACTCAAAGACCAGGCCCCCTCTTCTTGTCAGGTCCACCCAGGCATCAGGGAGCCTTGGGATGTTTTTCAACAAGTCTGGGTGAAGGAATTTGTGAGGCATCGGGGTTCTTTCAAGAGGTTGCCCCTACACGTCGTTGGGTGATGGCCAGACACGTAGCTGACAAGAGGGAGCAGTGGGAGCAGTGGGCCCCCCTTAAGTAGACCTCGGTCACCAAGTTAGAGATGGCTGGGGCCAGACCAATGCACTTTGGCAAAAGCTCAGTGCTGCCAGTGCTGCACTTTAGAGTTCAGAGCCGCTGGTCGCCCCAACCTGCTGACAAAAAGACCTTTTTCGTGCCTGTTCCCACGTGAAGAAGTGGACGCGGTCCTTGGTTTACATAGCGACATCGGGTCCGAACGGTGCATGTTCGACCTTTGACGGCTGAAGCTGCACAGGCCAAGTGTTCAAACGGAGTGAAAAGAACACATCCACAAGCTATTTAAACAGCTATCTATCAGCCATTGGCGTACAGTACGCCAGATCATTTGGGAGATTTCGATCTCAAATGTACCCCAGTTTGCCCGGGAACCATGGCCATCTCAGGCTGGGTTTCCGCTGCTGGGCCGACTACGAGCTGCGGCCTTTGTCCGAGGTGGGTTGAGAGAAGCCTGGAAATAGACAGAAGATTGGTCTGGACCTGTTTACAGTAGACGGACCAGAAAGGTTGCTTTTGTGTATGTGGCCCTCTATCGTCTCTACCATGCCAAAGGTGAAGAATCTCAGCAGATTTCCCTAATGGAAGAGCCGGGAATAGACTTGGATTCCAGGATAGATGGCAGGATATCAACTACTGTGGGTATATAGGTAGATAGGTAGGTAGGTCCTATAGGTATAGGTAGGTAGACCATCCTGCAGCCATTAGTGGCAGTCATCTTGGAATTTCACTCTGTCTATGCATATCCTCATCCCTTGATGTAAGATATTAAAAGTATCCTAAACGTGTACAACCCCTTCCCACTGCTTTTCCAAGTGCCGTGCCCGTGGTGCCCTGCGTTAGGTGGCTCAGGATAGCCACGCTGCTTCCAAGCTCTTCGAGGACTGCTGGAGACACTTGGAACCAGCTGTGGCCCGGGCCCCAAAGCATCCAGACTTGATGGTGCCGGTGGTAAAGCAGGAGCTCTTCAGAGGTCGAATTCATGAACCACCATTTGGGTGGAACCACGGGGGAACCTCTATGACAAGTAGCCGAGATTCACCTGTCAAATTGATGGCCCTCATGGTTTGATGGCGAAAACGTCCCGTTCCTGGCTGGAGGCCTCCGCAGTGCAGAAGATGAAAGGCAAAGCAGGTGTGCTGCAGCAACCAGATGAGGCTCATGTTGCTTCATGTTATGTCTTGAAGGACTCAGTTTTCAGATTCAGATCCAAAAGTCACTCAGATCACTCAGCCCCTTGGAAAGGCCTACTATTGGACGCTGCATGGCAGGGCAGTTGAAGCCTTGAAGCTAGCTGAGTACCTCCCAGCAGAACAGGCGTGCGAGCACCCAGATAAGGGTGACCTGTCCGCGACATGCGTGGGACAAGAGCACTCCTGGAAGCAGCATAACTCAGCATCATGTAAGATTTGTCCAATTGTCCAACCTCCCCACTTGGATTGAAACACCTCTTCAGAGTGGTTTGATTAATCAACAGTCTATATATATAATATTTATGAACTTTGCCTTTAACACCAAGGCTTGCTTTGGTGATCCAATTGCATCCGGGATGATGCTTTGGTGTTCAAGTAGCATGGCCTTCTCCACACAGGGCTTTGGCAACACCCACAGTGCCTCCAAGTCGACCGTCTCATGATTCCAGGGCTTTCATGGGCTTTCCTCTTTTTGAGACCGGGCCGCAACGGCTAGACTGAACCCCTCTACCGTGAGAAGGACGACCGTTGGACTCGACCCAGAACAAGGGTCACAGAGGCAGTCCTCAGGGTGCCCCTTAACGAGTTTCGGCACGCCCCAACGAGTTGGGAACCTTGAGGCTAGAGCGGCTCGTGGACGTTCTAGGCCGGAAGCCACGACATGAATGCAGCGCCTTCAATTCGCGGGTCGCCTTGGCCCCGAGTGAAACACTCAAAAACTCCCCATGTGTTGTGATGATTTCTCTTTGAGACTGCCATCAGAATCGGACACAGCAAGTGCTGAAATGCGTTTATAACATTTTATAACACTGTTACCAACGGGGCTAACCAGCTCTTGCAATATTTGCCATTTACACTAAATTGAGTGATTCCATACAATCGGCCATAAGACACACAATTAAACCAACATGATCCATCGCCAATACAACAAACAAGCTTTATCATTCAAAGCTCTTTCTGTCGGGCCACCCCCGACAAGCCTGCTCAGCAAGCCTAACCGACAAGCTCACCTCGGGGCACCCGCGAGACCAAGCACCTTCGGCCAGGCCGTGCCTGCAACATCACCTTCCGAGCTTTGCCAGCGAGAAGCTGGTGGCAGACAGGGTGCCTGAGCAAACGATGCCGACATCTCCCCACCCCCCGAAACTCGCGGTGCTGCTGACGGAGAGTGTGGAGATGGGCTTACGTGTTACAATGTCCTCGTCCTCCTTTGGTGAGTGCGGACAATTTTGGGGCTCGAGGTCAAGAGGTTTCATCTACACGAAGCCAAAGCTACAGTGCGGTCAGAGCAGGTGAAACAACCACCGGGATCTGCGATGCTGTATCCAAGAATGGTCTTAGGGAAATGACCTGTCAAAGGCCATCGCCTACTTTTGGCTCCAAGGATGTTGTCCTAGTCATAGTCACACCGTAAAGAACGCGGCTGACTCTTAGGTCTTTATGGAGAACACGTGTTTCGACACCGAAGAGCTTTTTGTAGATCACCACCCGTGAGACGAAGAGTTTTGTTTGCTTTGGCTCAGCCTACAAACTGAGATTGAAGTGTTTACTGAGCTTGTTTGCTAAAGGAGGAAAGGATTCAACTTGCTTCAGCCATGGGACGAACTCCAAATGTGCCAGCCAGGCCGAGGCGCTCAAGACGGCAGTTTTGAGCCGACCGACCGTTTTAAGAACGAAACTGGACAGGTATCGAACCAGAAGCATCATCGTTTTGCATGAGATGGAGATTGTAGTGAAGACGTGCATTCCCATGGGCTGCTTTTTGGAACAGCTTTCTTGTGCGACTGGGACTCCAGATTGAAGTCGTTGTGATTTTGGGACCAGGCTCGGGAAGTTCGAACATAACTCATGTAGTACTAGTTTAATTTGGGGCACTCCTACTGACACACTCTCCCAGAGTGGTATCTCTGGCCTTCCTGAAGATGTTGACTGCAAATCTCTTCTCCCACAAAAAGCATGTGGTGCCAAGTGCGGACCTTTAGCCCTCCTTCTTGAGGGCATCCATATATGTAAGCCTGTCATTTGATTGGAGACCACCCTCCACCAACATACCCCTCTGAAGAGGCCGCGTGTGAGAGCCCTGGATTGCGAGATGGTGGGTGTCGGGCCGCGTGGCAAGCGATCTGCCTTGATACGCATTTCGGTGGTCAGCCGCAGAGGGAAGGTGCTTTGCATGATGCGTCGTGGGTGCAGAGGTTGTCAACCATTGGGGAAGTTGGAGCATGTTGACCTTTTGGACAGGAGGCCTGAATCAATATTTCGTCACTCTTTGCCAGCTGTCTCGAGTCTAGAATGGAATGCTGGTGATGCTTTTTCTTAGTAGCAGCACTTTGTGCATCACTGGTAAGATGTTGTCGACCCACCCTGAAGGATTTCGGGGATCCGACCAGTAGAGGAGCAGATAATGTTAGAGATAAAATTCCAATCACAGGTCTTGCTGGATTGCATCGCCGAGCCAGAGGAGGACGGGGGGGCTGTGCTAGGTTCACAGAAACAAGCCCTGAGCACCATGCAAACCATCAGGAGTTCACACACACCAACCACCCCGGTGCAGCATAAGCCCTTTGTTCCGGCCTGTGGGCCCAGCGAGCAGAAGAAGTCCCGCATGAGAAGGGAAAAACAGCACGACAAAGACATACATGGTATTTACCGTGGTTTGGGTTTCTTCTGGTTCTTGCATGATGCAGGCCCACCGCACCTTTTTGGGTCCATCAGTCCATCATGGGAACTCACTGAGTCTTTGTGGGGATGTTCTCAGTCACGTCTCGTCCCTCGCGCGCGAGGAGGTCACTGATTGGCGCACGGCCTTCACTGGCCTCGACGCCCAGACCTTCGCGGAGCTGGCAGCACCTGGTCCAGCGTCCAGGTGTGACCGGATCTGTTGGGGGAAAAGCTGGCAGCACCCGTGACAAACCATGCCACCGTTCCTTCACCTGTTTTTGGGCGTGTCTTCGTGCGCTGCGGCAGCGGAGCGTGGTCCTCCGGTGGCGACGGCGTCGGTGGGATTTGGGCCCGAGGCGCCGCAGTCAGCTGCACGGGCACCTGCCCAGCTTGGTGCTCCCGACGCCACTGGCAAAGGCGACAGCCAATGCACTCCTGGACCATGTGGTCGTGGTGGGTCATGAACTTTGGAAGCGTTTCAGCTATCAAGATGTGAACTATCCTAGCCATAGCACCCCCAACACATGTCGGGGGAAGCCCAGAGCTTACCAGTCTTTTTGAGGGATTTGGAGCAGGTCGCCCGCAGAAGCGACTTGACAAGTCACTAAGTGAACTCATGTGCTTTCTGGACTTGGGTGAACTGGGCCTTCTTTTTAGGCATCCACCCGCAGATGGGCCACAGACATCCCTTCTCCCTGAGGATTTGAGGCACGATTTTCATTTGCTGGGCCGCCCACCGCTTCGCCATATGACCAGAGACACGGCCTTCTCTCCCTTGCTGCGCTCGGGGTTGGATCGCCCCACGGCAGGCGGGAAGCACCACGCCGAATTCCTTCGTCCAATGGGTGAGGTTACCTCCAGGTTTGGAGGTGCATCAAGCAGCGACAACTGAGATGCCTTTGTTTCCCCCAAATCTCCAAACACCTCGAACGTGTGGGAATTCTGCTCGATGTCGAAGTGCAACTCTGAGGGCTACCTTCCTTGAAAGCTTTGGCCGCCTCATGGTTGGACATCCGTTCCCTTCACCATGGCGTCCACTCTTCTGTGGAGGATGCTAGGCAAGGCTGTGCTGCCAAAAGTCCTTGGCCGTGTGTGGTCTTGCTTGGGCTGCATGGGTAAACTCTGAGACGTACAAGCTGAGAAGCAGAAGGTTCTGGATCCTGAGAATCACAAAAGGTGCCAGATATCTGAAGCATGGTCACTCTAAACATTTCCAAACAACGAATCTTTGGACATTTGTTTCGTTTTCACAGCCCTCGAGCGTTTGGTTCTTGCCTCCAGACTTGCAGGGTGGCCATGCTCCTCTATCGTCTCCTCGCACCCCAGTGGGAAGTCTTCGATGGTCGCCACTACGGTCCGCCCAGCTGGACAGCCTTTCGAAGAAAAGCGCCGCGGAAGCGCGGAAGCGCGGCTTCCGCCGTCATCAGGACGGCCGTGGCGGGGGAGTTGTTCTGGGTCGAAGGATTGGACGGTGGGAAACGCAATGAAAAGATTGAAAAGCATGTGGGAGATGTGTTGTTCTGGCCACCGTGCTATGCACAGAGCTTTTTCAGAAACCATGCCTTTTGTAGAGTCATTGTGGCATATGCGGCATGTGGATTGTTTGTGTATATTTTTATATATTTTTTGTTCCTTTCGGGTACTTTGGACCATTCAGCTGTCATGGCTCAATGAGGAGGTGCAGCCACAGAGGGCTGAAGAGGATCTTGGCGGTGAAAATGTGCGGCGGCCACGTTTGCCGTGTAACTCGAAAAGTGCGGCGATACAAAAGGACCAGGGCAACCATGGGCAAGCTGTATATCCTCTTTGAACCAGCTAGTGGGCCCCCTTGTTTGGTGCCAGTCTATTTTGTTGTAACGGGTTCACTCCTACAAAATCATGAATCATGACTTGCAGGTATAGACAGGAGCCAAGAAAGGGTACTCCAACACCCTGGAACATGGCGGCTAGGTGGTCGAGTTGGAGTAACAAACCCACCCGCTCACTGCCCATCGATTTTGGGTATGTGAGGATCTATCCACGACCTATCCACGACCTCTCCTATCCACGACCTCTCCCACACACCAGCAGTTTGAGCTTCCATGTTGCCCTGCGGGGGGTTTGCTACACCGCCTCCCGGGTGGCGCGCAGGTGGCACAGCGGTGTGCGCTGCTTCGAAGTCCTCGATGGGCTGCGAGCACAATTTTTCGAAGAGCGGCTGTTGGGAAACCAGAAGAGGTTCTTTTTCCTGCATTTTTTTTAATAGCACCCTGCTTCACAAGTTGAAGATCTGGAAAGAGGCTTCTTCTAGCGCCACACTTGTTGGAGATCTGTGAGAGAGTTCAACTGTCCAAGGCCACCCTTAGGAATCGCCGCTGGCGGAGGCCGCTGTTTGGGCTATGTCTATGCCGGGTCCTTGGTCAAAGCCACAGGTGTGTTTGTCCCAGCTGGGGAATGGCCGCATCACATATCTCGTTTGAGCAAATCCACAGAGCTCGCCTTTTTCAATTGGGAGCCGCCCCGACTGTTCACCTTGGACTGTTCGGATGAGTACGGCATCTCGGTGACGGCATGGCCGCCGGAGGGGCAGTCACAGAAGGGAGGAGCAAAGTCAGCCGCTTTTCGCAGCGACTGTGAACAAGAAAAAGCTTCGCACCCTATGCACCGCGTCACCCCATACTCTGCTTGGTATGCGGATATGTGTCCCTTTGGTAGGGATGTGGATCCCTACCTCCGCCCCGCTGTGAATCGCACTTAAACGAAAACGAGCCAAGTCAAAAGCACCGAGAATCTCAAACACAGAACCAGAAACAAGTAACAATGTTCGCTACTAGGAACAAGTGCATCGCTACTAGTAACAAGTGCCTTACTAGTAGTACTAGTAACAAGTGCCGCACTAGTAGTAACAAGAAGCTACTAGTAACAAGTGCCTTACTAGTAGTAACAAGAAGCTAGTAAGCTTCATGATGCAGGTCAACAAGAATTAGAATTAAGTTTAACTATAATTCAAATTAATTCTGATAGCTTCTTGTTACTACTAGTAAGGTAGCATTCTTACTACATTTTAGCTTCATGATGCAGGTCAACATTTTAGCTTCTTTGGGTTCTTCGGCTCCTGAGATGAGGTGGAACTCTATGGCACGTGGAGAGGGTTTGGAGCTTAGAGTTTATGCTGGAAGCAGACCGGGGATGAAGGACTGCAAGCAGGTCGCCAGGTCGCCAAGCTAGGCTTAGGCAAGTATGGAGGTAGATTGGTAGATTGGACTACAGTAGATCATTACAATAGATAGAGCACGTGCCTTGATCTGGGAAATAGCATGATATTAACTTATTTTTGGTCTTCAGGAGAATTGGCCCGTACAGCTGCGCAGAATCGACCAAACACGCATCCTTCAGCATTGGGGTCACTTCGATGCTCGACCCAAAGTGTTTCAACCAAACCAAGTGTTCACTCCACCTATCCACACCCCAAAGGAACTGCGTGTTCCTCCACACCCCTCCACAATGGCCCACGTGAACGGGACACTCCCTGAAGTCATCGAAGTGGATTTTCTCAATACCCAATCAGGTGGCGAACTCCACTTCCATGCTGATTGGGAGTGGGGGTTCCCCCTTGTTTCCAGGACACGTCCCTTGGCACCTGGAGCTTTGCTTCTGGCGCCTGGCCACGTGTATTTGGGCACCTCGGCCAAGTCCGGTGGAACCCACGGGAACCAGACGAACTGCAAGACCGCAAGACCTGTGAGCATCAACGAGGTGGTTAGACCCCCCACTCCCACCCCGTTGGAGCCCTAGCGTTAAATCGTCTTAAATCATCCTGAATCCTTCTCACCTTGGAGAGGCACGACCATCCCAGGTGGTCCTTCTTTTCCGATGCATTGAAAACACGATGGAAAGGGCGGAAGCTTTGTTGGAGTCGGAACCCGTTTCGGAGTTTGGTCGTCGGGTGGGGGGCGGAGGATTGGGGCGGAGGTTGGCAAGGCGTTTTCTGTCCGTGGCGGAGGTTGACCACGTAAAGGTCGCCACCTGCTCAGTTGGAACCCAAGGGGGAGAACCGTTTCTTTCAGAATTGCACAAGGGGCATGAGTATGCACGCATCAGAGTGAGCCAGTCGGCTGGATTGCGCTTGTGATGACGAGTGCCGTGACAAGGAGTCGCTAGGGACGGTGTGAGGGGGTGCCGAAAACCACGCTCTCGCAAAACCAAGTGGCTGCCTCATCACCCAAAGTGGACCAGAAGAAACGATTGGGACATAGAATGACCACCTTTCAGACTATAGGTCACAGTATATGCTGCACAGGCAGCTTGACAAATTTAGATGGTGGTCTCCCAAATCATTCGGAGTCCTTCAGAAGGGAACTAGATAGGTAAGGGCTAATTGCTCACAGAGTCAGACCTACACTTACGTCCCCCAGTATTTGGGATTTGAGCCATTTAAGCCTTCAATTGCAAAAAGGATGGCCTTCCCTCAGAGGCTGACTCCCAAAGCCGCTTTTGGGGATTTGAGCCACCTTAAGATGGGGTAGAAGGGGAGAAAGAACTTTTGTGTTTTAAGTTTTCAGGATGCGTGAGACGCATCTTCACAGCAAGTTCAGGTCTCCATCTCCAAGCCCCTTCGATGGGCATGACCAAGCAGCTTGGTCCCTTCGTGGCTTTCGGGGCTGTGAGGTGAGTGGTGTCTTTTGAAAGATCTATCGGTTGGAGCGGGCCTACTATTTGGGGCTGTCTCACATTGGATAGCATCGAGGATAGCACATATATAGTTTCACATATTTTTCCAGGACAGGTGATTGATGTTGCTGAGGGAGTGGCCAGAAGATGCACATGATGCTTTGTAGAAGGGGGGGGGGCAGATCCATGGCGTGTGGATTCCAGTCAGCGTTGCTTTTCGAAACATCACAAAACAACAGATCGGTTTTGAGATCTCGGTCACCCTCAAAGAGGCTCCAAAAAGCGGGTCGATGCTCAGTCCCATCAGTCGGTGCTCAGTCCCACCTGACTCGTAACCCCCGGCGCACACGGATGACTCGGAGAACCGAAAGAGCTCGCGGAGGAGTGAGAGGATGAGTCCGGGCAATGCCCTCCACGAGCACGACCAACATAGAAATGGTTCCGTTCCAACCATGGTGCTTTCAATTCTGTGGTTGAAAGCGGTTCTTCGTCCCACCGCAAGGAGGCAAGAGTCGGGCTGCCAGGGTCACGTCGAACCGTTGTGAGCCGTTGTGAGCCGCCGTGGTTCGTTTGCACGTCGGGTGACCCACTCTTCGCGGGCACTCTGAGGTTGCTGACTCCAGAGGATGCTACGATGATGGCGGGACGTGCGGGACGTGCGGGACGTGCCTCGTCTCCCGACTGGACCGTTGATCAACAGGACTCCCCAATCCAGGTCCGGGGGGGATTGAGGTCTGGGGGGGATTGTTTTTGTCCATATCTTTCAAGGTTTTGGTCGCCAAGTCGGCATTAGGTATATACTTTATATATATATATATCGTTAATTATATTTATTATCATGAAATCCCCAAATGGCCAGACTATCACGCCTATGAGGTGCAAGCTAGTGCCACACAGGGAGAGTCATCAGGTCAAGGACGCAGCTGTCTTGGACAGGATGCGACAGTCTCCGTTTTGTCCGAACGCGGCCAGGCGCATGAACTGGGCCATGCGGCCGGGGCCTGAGACCGGGATGTTATGTGTTATGTAACTTATGTATAGTTTTTGTTTGTTTGTTGCTTTGAGATGGCTCGAGTAGCTCTTCTTCGTAGTGCTTGTGGGGTTGCGACATGTTTAGCGTTGGGTCGAGCACTGGCGGACTTGCCCAAAGGTCCACATGCTTTGCTTCTCTGGCTCCGCGCAAGAATTCCAGGATCTTCCGCAGGTGTCTTAGCTGCTAGCTTCCTGCAAGTACCAGATGTGCTAGCATGTGCTAGCTTCCTGCAAGTTGCAAGTACCAGATGCATGCAGTGCTCAGAAGACGGATGTTCAAAACCTTGGGACCTCGGTGTCTTTGCAAGCCTTTTGCATGGAATCGTGGTGGGGGAGGTCTCCGCTTGCCGGCAAGGCTTGATCTCTTGGAGTTGCCTTCCACCTTTGCCGAAGCGGCTCAGCTGGGTTCAGTCCTGTTCGGGTTCAGAAGCGCACCTGGCTGGGCCAGTGGTAGTTGCCATGTTCCAGGTCTTAGCCACAAAGCCAGAGGTGGTTGGAGAATACGTCCGGGCACTTGGAGGCTACCAAGCCATTTGCCACACAAAGGAGGCATGTAGAAATGAGGTCAGTCAACCCCGGATCATTCAAACCCATGTGCAGTTGGAAAAGCTTCCTTGATGCCAAATGCCACATGCTTCTTGAGCTGGGTTGAGTTGTTGATTGGCATCCTTTTCTAAATTCAAGCTTGCTCCCTAGCAAGGCCCGACACCATCAGTCTGGAGATGGGCCTCCGAACAGCTTGCTTCAAGTTGCAGGGCCGCTGAGCTGGCGAAATCGCCGCAAACAGCTTGGCGTGGGCAAACACCTTAAGTGTTCCTTCTTGGACTGGAACGTAGAGGTGAGATGAGTTGCTCAGAGCACCAGTGAGAGGGCACTGGGAAGCCTACTGAACCTGTTTGAGCAAGTTGGAGGATTCGGAGAATGGAGCCGCATGATGTGCACATGATGAACATGCAGGGGCTTTTGCGATCTTTTGCGCCTTAGGTGGAAAGCTTGGATGACATGGAAAGTCACAGTATCATATCATGCAATTATATATATGGGTATATATGCATATATATAGATAATATATCACATACGCGCACACACACACACACATGACACAATTAGAAGTTGAACCCCACATTGCTGATAAAGGTGCTGAACAATTTCACAAGCTGCAATTGGAAGATTCTTGACTGGTCTAGAACATCCTGTTTCAAAACCCGCAGCCAGCAGTTGCATCACCACTCTTGAAGTTTCCCTCGCCTCGCTTCCCATAGCCACCCCGGGTCACTCCCTCCTTTCCTTCGCCAAGGCGCAGGCAAATCCAAACTTCTTTGCCCAGAAGTTGCAGAGCTGGAATGTCAGGGGCCATGTCCGCATCGATGGTGAGGGTTTCATGCCGTGGGTCGACCCTACTTCTCAGCCCTCACTGGGCAGGTTCCGGCTTCCTGCCACCTAAGAGCGATCGTGAGGATTTTGGGAGTTGGGGGGAGAAGCGCGACGAAGGCTGTGATCTCCTAGTGGATTGCTAATCATCGCGTGCCAAAGTTCTGAACATTTACAGCCCCAATCGAGGTTCCTTTGGATCCATTCCCTCATTCTCTACTAAGCACCTTTGACATCGACTTGATGTGGAACCTCAGCCAGGTGAGTTTGGGGCTTCACTCCGACTTTGACGCCTTCGCCGCCACCCCTTCTGAGCACCGTCGGCGTGTTTGGTGCGCTGACGTTGCACGCCTGATACTGCCTGAGATCGATGAGTTGGCCACCACCTAGAGCCTGAGTGACCTCTATTTCGGCATATTTCGGCCCAACCACCCAAAGGATGGTTTTTCCTCTCATCAAATCAGAGATCAAATGGGCGTATAGTGTGTACAGTGTGCCTTTGAGGTGGTTTTTGCTTGAACGCTTCGATCGCTTTTGAACTATTGTTGCACATCAGGCTGCAGGATAGAGCAGTGAGCTTGCCGGAGGCCCAGGTTCTGTGACTTGTCGGTGTGAAGCATCGTGAGATGTTTTTGGTCATAGCCCCTTCGAGATTGAGAGATGCCCAATGAATGACCGGCAACTTGTAAGTTCTGGTTAGCAACGGCTAGGGTGTACATATATTTGCATAATCATAAACTATATATATATATATGTTTTGTTTAGATAGTATTGATCTTGTGGCCATGGGTCGAGGCTTGGAAACCCCTGCTTTGATGGCTTGAAAGCAGGCGTCACAAGTGGTAGGCCAATCCATGTCGGTCCGTGTTGGTGGGTGGTTTTTAGTCTTTTGAACTCCACCAGGGGGAGAGTCCTGGATCCCTTTGGAGGCGACCCGTGTCACCTGACTCCGGGGCGGCACAAAAACCCGCGCGGTGGTCCCCGAGGTGGCAGCGCTACTCGAAGGTGGCCGCCAGCGGCTCCTTCTCGCCGCTGGGCGAGGATGCGGGGAGCTCAGAGGTGGAAGGGAGCATCGAGGACCATCGGGGGTTGATAAATGGTTGGACCGATCAGGAGGAAGGTTTTCTCATGCTTTTGGGAGATCGGGGGATTTCGAGACTGACCCATGTGGGAGCCTTTTGTGGGTTTCCAGGTGAAGCTTTCAATCGCAGGCCGATTCTGATTATTTCTGGTTACTGTAGTAGCTAGCAGCTAGAACCACAAGACTCCTCAGTCAGCTCTCGCACCATTAGAGACGGCTGCATCCTTCACATCAATCTCGCTGCAATGAGCATCATCTCAAGCCTCCCTGATCTTATGACATGTGAGGAACCAATCTAGTATTTTCATCGATCACTCCTCCGTATCCCCAAGCTGGCAAGAATCAGAAGTACCCTATGAGACCCTATGCCTAAGTCAGACTCGTGCCACAATTCAGGCTGGTGGTTGCCTCGCCTTGGGGGCAAATCAGGTGGCCTATTTGCTGCCCGGTGGCCCAGCGCCCTGCCACTTCGTGTCCGGCCAGCCTCGGAAAGGTTCAGCAAGACCCAGTGTTCAGCATGATGATTCAGGGTGTGATGACCAAATCATGAACACATCCAGAGCAGGTCGCTCAAGCCCGACGCACCTTCTCTACAACTGCAGAAAAGTACTGCATGGCCCCACTTCAAACTCTTTCGGGCGAACTGCAGTCGCCCTTTGCTGCGGTGTTCGATCACATGCCGATCGGCATCGCGTGTTCCGAACGCCATGGATTTGACGGGCGATACGGAACTCACTGGTGCTGATGGTGTTTGTGTTTAAAGGCGAGGGATCTTCATAGGAAGCCTACGTTACATAGCGAGTATGCTTTTGCTGACATGACAATTGTAGATCCGTATGTTATAGATGTAACAACATATAGGCATAGATATCAATATCTATGCCACTATGCGTAGATGATCGTGAAAATAGGTATGAATATATGTACTGGCAATTGCAGTGTGTCATGCAGGAATAGATGTGCAAAAGGTGCAAACCTATGCACAGATTCTGATCATCTCGCTTTTTGACAGAAAAAATAGTCGTTCGGCAGCATTTTCGTTCGTTGGTGGGTCCCCACGGTCAGACCAAGACGCTCCAAACGCTTCCAAGGTGCTATCTTCGTACTGCAACCTTGCTTCGGGGTAAATCTGCCCAAGGCCGCGCGGAGGTTCTGGTCAGAATCTATTTGATTGAAGTCGTGCAGATGTTGGTTTTCGAGATTCCAGTTGACCAGAACCAACATCTACACGACTTTTGTTGTCTTTTTGTCTTTGTTTCTTGTTGTCTTGTTGAAAAAATTGGTCAATCAATTTTGTTGTCTTTGTTTCAACTGCAGAGTCTGACTCAGACTCCGCTGTGCCCGGACCGACCGACCCCGTCAGGCAAATCTGCGCTGAAGAGGTGGCTCAGTGGATGCCTTAGAGACACCTCAGGTGCTTTGAAACCTCAGGTGCGGTAGGAAAAGGGGGGTGCTTTGATGGGTGTGTGACAGGGTGATTTGTTAATTTCTTGTTCCACCGTGGGAACACTGCGTCACCAGAACATACCCAGGCCACGTTGGATTGACAGAACACGCCCGAAACTGCCTCCTTCCCGTGTCGATTCACCCATGAGCCGCGTGAATAACATGCGTCACATGCCGTGGCATCCAGTTGGGACCAGTGTTTCCACCCCAAATCAGTCTCCCCAGATCATCCGTGAGATCGGGGGTCTTCACCTCTCCGCGGTCGGGACTGCTTAGCGAGGTCCCGACGCGGCGGGCAAGCTCCGGGCGCAATTGCTGGAGCAACACTCAGGGTTCAAATGGCGGAAGAGCCGAGCGTAACATGGAGTGCACTGTTTATACTATTTTTTTGGGGGGAGATGTGAGACAGACTGAAACTCCCAGAAGGTTTCGGTCTTCAAGACGAAGCACTCTTTGGACCACTTTTGTTGGCAGGTTTACTACAAACATCATCAAACATCTAGCTGCATCTAGCTAGCTTCGATTTGGTTGGACTTGCGCCACTGAGTGGGCTGAGACTTTAGTCCCATCATCAAGTATGAATCCTGTTTGATTCCTGGAATCGTGTGATAGGTTTTGTGCTCAAGCCTTGCGAAATCAACCGCCCCGACTGCACCATGAGCCAAACCCAGGCGAGGAAATGCTGTAAGACATGCGCTTCAAAACGCGGTGTTGTGAGACTTCCTCCAGCATAGATTCCGACACATTGCCGAGCGGCAATCATTTGGCATCATTTTGCAAGGGCCTGAGCACACTGTTGATCAGGTCTCGTGTTTTTTGGGGTCCGTGGCCGTGGTGGTCGTGAGCAGGTCTCCAAAAAGCGCAAGTTCGTGGCCGACGGCGTCTTCAATGCCGAGCTCAACGAATTCCTGGCCCGCACTCTGGGCGAAGACGGCTATGCCGGTGTGGAGGTGTCGACCTGAGGAGAAATCGGGTGCCCTGTGAGTTCCCCCTTGGGCCGGGTGAAGATGATCGTCGAAACGACCAGCAGCCCGGCATTCAACAGTGAGCTACGAAACTCAACCACACCATACAGCGACACGAAACACAAGAGATTGGTTCAGAGAGATTGTCGTGTGCAGGTGCGTGTGACACCAATCCGTACGGAGATCATCATCCGGGCTACCAGGACCGTGACGTTGCTTTACACTTCAAACAGCAGCAAGGCCTTTTAAGCAGCACTTCTTCCAAATCCATTTGCCAGCGAAACAACGGCATCGCAGAGTGCTGCTTTTGAGACGCGGAACCAGTCGGAACTGTTGGGACACTTGGATGGACTTACCCGTGTTGTCCGAACAAGGAGCCGGGGGTGTCCATATTCCCTCATGTTCCCCATGAAGCAGGGAGGAACTCAGAGCGAGTTCCCCAAGCCCCGCTCTGGTGTCGATTCCGCAAAGCGGCCAGGACACGGGAGGTGCTGGGCGAGAAGGGACGCCGCATCCGCGAGTTGACGGCGCTCGTGGCTCGGTGTGGGCAGCCCATGTCACCCACTGTCACCCGTCCATATCTTACAATGGCCCTGTGACCGACAGTCAGTAGAAAAGCCTATACTAACCATCATCATTTAAGACCCTAATAATTATACATTTATGTCCGAAAGAGTTTATAAATGATTTTCCGTTTTCGTCAGGAGTCTGACTTGGATGTTGGACTGACCCGGGGGATAAGTCCAAAAATCGTTCCGCCTATTGCTTGCGCAAACCTGGCAGCAATGACTTGTGCGGTGCTGCAGCCCCACACCTTTGTTCGCACCAATTCGTCTCATGATTTCCGATGCAACATCCTTGGAAGCTTGGCTTGGTACGCCTGTGATCGCCGAGGGCCGTGTCTCCTTCGAGGCTTGTCGAAGCACGGGCACGGCTGTCGAGGCTCGGTGCGAGCGTCGTTTGGACCATGAGAGCTGAAGCTCCAGCAGTTCGTTGTGCTACTTCCCAAGCGGAATCCTCTGAGAGGCTGCTTCCCCAATGAGGGTCAGGCACTCGTCCGGGCCTGGGATCGGGGAGCTTGGAGGGAAAACAACGTTCACTGTTGGGGTTCTCTCTTGGGAAAGGACACTGGCCACAGTCTTTGGACGTGCCCCTGAACCTTGTGTCCGGGCTGTCCTGCTGTTGTCCTCTTCTTGTCCGGTTGTCCTGCTGTCCCCTTTCATCCGCCGCACTTGCATCCTCACTCCTGTTCCCCAATCAGCTTGGGGTTCTCTGAGCGATAGCTGACATGGACCCGCGGTGGGCCTTGTCTTCTCCGAGCTGTCTTGGCCACGTTGTGGGCTTTCTTTTCCGCTGTGTCCTGGCAGAACGCCATACATGTGCCACACCTCCCGTTGGATGTGGACGTGGCATGCGCCCCCCCCCCCCGCCTCGTGTCTCGCGGCGCATGGTCGTTCATGCCGAGGTGCAGAAGCGCTTCGGCTTCCCAGAGAACAGCGTGGAGCTCTTTGCGGAGCGTGTGGAGCCATTTGGATGTGCAGGGTGAGCTGTTTTTGGTGTCACGAGTTCAATCGCGCTCGGCATGCGAGGCGTTTGGGGAGTTCCGGGGTGTAGAAGAAAAGCTCCGCCCACTTGTTGGATCCTCCGCTTTGGGAGCTGGAATTAATGGTGGTGGGACTTGTCTGTTTGAAGCTTCTCAGTAAATGGATCTAGAATGGAAATGCACCTCCCCAACTGTCTTGCACAGTTGGATGGGCGCAGGTTTTGTGCAGGGCAGGTCGAGTGGCAGATCGGATCTACCCTTGGTGCCCCGAATGACATCAACCAATCCAAGCAGCCCAGTGAACCTTGTGACAAGTCATGCTGGATTTTGCTGGATTCAAACTTGTGAGCCCCCCTTGTGCTTTTGGGAGGCGGTGCAGACTTGGATTCCCTAACCCCCTTCGACTGCTTCTCTCACGATCTGTTTCATGAAGGGGCCGTTTTTTCCGGGGCTCACTCACATGTATTGAACATAGCCCTTAGAGAGGCCTTTTACCCCCAAGAGCACAGACAAGCACAGATCCCTTCTAACACTGCGGTTCCTTTCTTTCGTGCTCCAGGAGCCGTGCGAGCTGCGCCATGGCACAGCCGCTGGCCTCAACAAGCTCACACACATTTGTGGGACCTGGGACGGGAACGTGGGTTGAAGCCAAATCACATGTCAAGTGGAGATGGATGCACTCGCAAGAAGGGCCAATCTGCGAGAAACCATCGCTAGTAGGTTGAAGGCCATCGCTAGTAGGCTGGAGGACATCGCTAGTACCGCTGGTAGGTTGGAGGCCATCGCTACGTATTAGGTATTAGGTTGGAAGAACACTCTAATAATCTAATATAGTTTGCTATTAGATAATTGCCTTTCATATCCTAATAAGTTTATTAATTGCTATTTGCCATTAGAAACTATAGTCCTTTCATTAGATGGTTGCTATCATATCCTTTTTCTTCTGCCAACCGAAGTCCTGTTGGGCGGAGGCGATGTTCTTCGCCTGCCGGACCCTGCCGGACACTTCCGAGGTGCGAGTCTCTGCGCTTCAAGCTCATTGGTGGCTTGGCCGTGCGCCGCGCATGCTACGGCGTGCTCCGGCTCCTTAGCGCAAGGAGCATGCGACACACGAGTCTTGTGGATGTCCGGACGCGTCCCAGACAGCGGTCTTCTTTCAGTTGTTGTGCCAGTTCTTTTTCCGCTTTCGAAACAGGGCCGGTGATCACATCACAAGCAACGGTCCTCCACGCAGTGCGTCTGCTTCCTTTTCCAGTGCCTCTGGCGAGGTTCATCATGGAGAATGGCGCCAAGGGAGTCGAAGTGATCATCAGCGGAAAGTTGCGGGCGCAACGCGCCAAAGCCATGAAGTTCAGGACCACACGTGGTCAGTGTGGTGGGTTGGTTCTGTTCGGGCAAGGGGGTTTTCTGAGTTTCTGAGGAGTTGGTTGGTCACCTACCACAATGAGGTACGGTATGGCTGTTAATTTATGTTAATTCAGTGATTGCTTCCAAAAGCTGTGGGTCGGGGCTCCTGGACAACCAGGTGTAAGTCTATGGCTCATACAGATACATGCTCATACAATTTTGCTCGTCTTCGTTCTGACGTTCTCATTCACTGGACTGTGCCCTTGACGGACAGCGTTTGGGATCTCTCTCGATGCGGAGCTACCTGCGACCAGGGTGTCTTGAACTCGGTGGTCGCGAAGCTCGCGATTTGGTCGCGTTCGCCAGGCAGGGCTACCTGATCTCCACCGGTGAGCCCAAGAGACACTACATTTCTGAAGCTGTTCGCCATGTGCAGATGCGTCAGGGCACCATTGGTATCAAGGCGAGGCCTTGATCCCAAAGCAAATGCTTCGGAATGATCAATTTTGGGTTGAAGCAAGAATGACTGAAGAAGCGATCGAAGGTGAAGAAAGCTGAGACGGTCAATTGAGGGTGGTTTGCCCTCCAAAAGTTCATTCAATTGACGAAGTCCCAGCTTGCATCTCAGGGTGGCAGGAATCATCTTCACATCCTTCCGGGTAGCAGAGCATTATATAACTAGCTGGTGCTTAGGGGGAGCGACTGAGGGCCGCCGTGGGTATCCGTATTCCTCTTTAAAGAGGGCTCCTGTCAGAGGGACCACGGGAGTTCCCTAAGAACTTGCTTGCTGGTTGATCATCGGTTCCAGCTTCCCATGGGCAGTTCGCATGAGGATTCCAAAGCAAGTGTGAACAGTGCCCCACTGAGGACAGCTATGCAGCTATGCCCAAGACGCCAGCAAGAACAAGAGATTTTTAGGAGTCGCATACAACCAAAACTGTGATTGAACCTTCCGAGGAGGCCCCCCTTTCTTCTTCAATTCTTAGTCCAGCTGTTTGAGTAGCGTCGGAAGCTTCAAGAGAAGCATTTGACAGGTTGATGTAGGAGCTCTACTTTCGCTCAGTGGATTTCAAGCCAGATGGATTCCCAATTCGTCGGGTACATCCCTCAAATACTCATTCTGCATGCTGTGCATGTGAAGATGGGCATTCTGCTGCCAGGTGAAGATCATGATGTCGCATGACCCCGAGGGGAAGATGGGTCCCAAGATGCAACTTCCTGACAATGTGGTGGTTCACGAGCCCAAGGAGCCGCAGCCAACACCGTGACTCCGGGGAAACCCTTGAGGTACTGAAAGCTTGAGTCGTCTACCCGAGTCTAACTGATGGGCATCATTTGGCCCCGAAGACGCTTCCATGTACTGTGATCCTAAGCGGATGGTGGACATCCACCGGCAGCTTGGAGAGCAAGATCAGGCATCAGCCAACCCAAATATTTGGTCACTGAAGAGCTCGGAGGGATAAGACTTCTCCCCAGACTTCGCCACCTCCCAGTTCGACCTGTGAGGTAGGTCTCACGAAGCCTCAAGCCACAAGGGGTTTGAGGCATTGTGGTCTCCCATCAGCTATCATCAGCCCATGCATCAACACACAAATGCATGGTGGGCTCGCCCCATTTGATGAGTTCCCTTTGAGGGGAGCAGTCTTCTGAGTGTGGAGGGTACACACCCAGGTGGGCAAGCCTGAGCCGTTTGCAGATGTTCGAGTCAACTCCTTTCTTTTCTATATAATTGGCTGTTTGGTTTGTCTTCTTCCTTTTGGCCACTCAGAAGAGACAAGGGCACGCGACTGAGCAAACATTTGGAACAGTTGGACAGCTTTCAAATCTTCCTCCTCCCCTTTCCTTCTCTTCATGCTCCATCATGGAGTAGATATCAGGACAGCACTTCCCTCGTTACATGTAGACTGTTGATTTATAAAGCCCCTCCATTTGGATCCATTTGGATTGCTAAGCCTTTCTATATGGGGGCTTGATTAGCTTACAGCCTACATTATTCAAATATCATTCTCGGTCATATTTGATTCTCACAGGAGGAAGCGCCCCCCATGATGCCGCCACAAGAGCAAGAAGAAGAGCAGGGCGGTTATGAGGGCTACGGTGGCAGCGGCGGCGGTGGCGGCGGCGGTGGCTACGGAGGTGGCTACGGCGGTGGCTACAATCAGGGTGGATACGATCAACAACAGCAAGGCTACTGAACGTCTGGGTGAAGATCGCGCGAGCACAGAGGCAAAAAAGCGCCCGTGCGGTGGGGGCAGCATCGTGCTGTGTTCAATCTGTGTCGCTGTGCCGTTTTTTGGGATCCAATGTGCTGCTAAGCCCTTGTTCACTGAAATGTGATGGCAGACCTAGGAGGCAGGAAAAGGAGACCCTCAGGCTCGCCCAAAAGCACACCATGTCCCTCAACAAATCAGAAACTATCAGAAACCGCGACTGGTGGACATGTTTTTTGAACATTGCAATTTCTCATATTCGGTCAAATTGTGCAGCCCAGAAGCCCCTGCATGTACTCCCTAAGTTGAGTGAGAGCATCATTGGTACAGCGGTTCACTGGCACTGGCGCACCTAGGATCAACGGTTCAATAGCGAGCGGTTGGCCACGTTGCCGCTGACCCAGTGCCTACGAATTGGATGCCGCCTTCCTCGTGCAAGGGTTCAAAAGGTCCTTACCTATCTATTCCATTCCCAGAAATGAAAAGAATCGATCAACTTTGGCGGCCAAACTTGGACATCAGAGCCTATCATGGAGGGCAAGAGTCATTCATTTGGAGTGTTTGTTCCATTGTGTTCTTTTTCTCTTCTAAAGTGGTGTTCAACCTTCTACATGCAGGGAGAGGCTTCAAGTGCTTGGTCATTCTTCCTTCAGACACGCAGGGTTTGGGAGCCTTTGTCCCTCTTGTCTCCAGCCATATCTTCTAGGTTGCATATTTTCTGGAAACAGACCTACGTACTACCTACCAAAAAAGCGAGGAGGGACGGGGCCGGATGCGGGAATTCTGGAAGTTCGGGTTGGCGGGATTCCGGTGGTGCACACCGCTGGCCATGCCATAGTCGATGAGCGACACATGTGCGGCATGGTGTGGACAGGGCAAGGTGCGATTTAAGACACATTCTGTGACAAAATAGGCAGTGGGGCAAGACATAGCAGTGGACACTCCTTTTTGAAAGGTCTCCTGACTCAAGCTGGACTTGTGACTGATCAGATCTAGGGTGAGCGATGCTTTTGCGATCTAATGCCTATGCTTTCCAGCACTGCCTCGACCCAATGTTCCATCATTTTCAGGCATGCGTTGTGAGCTGGTTCGACCGCGACCTGTTCGACTGAGGCTCCCAACACTTCAAGAGGAGGGCCGCGCTCTCAAGTGTAGTTTGATGTTTTGGACCCGAACGACCTGTTGCGTCGTAAGAGCCCAAGACAGGAGGTAGTTTTTTTGAAACAATTACACACCACATCACACCACACTGACCACACTCTGGCGCGCTCCCGAAAGATGCGGCTGCGGATGGGGTCGGATGGGGAAGAACATGCACCGAAGGATTGAAGAAAATGCACCGGGACACCGAGAGATGAAACATCGAATTGCTTGCTTGTACGAACGCCAATCTGGGATGAGGCATGTCACAGCTGCCTCATCCCTTGCCGCCTCTGCCGCATGATGCTTGGAAGGGGCAGACTTGAGTCACAAGCTCCAAATTCACTGCCCCGAAGAAGCCACCGTTAGCTGAGCTGAAATGTGAGAATGCCTAAAGGGCACCATCCTCCCTCCAACAATCACGGAAGTGGAAAAAAGATACCATTTTCCTCGAGTTGCTCATGTTTCTTGGAGGGAGGGTCCCCTGCGGAGAGAACTCCATGTCCGACCCTTTGTTGTTCCCGTTCAGCGACAGCTGAGGTCAGAAAGCAAGCCTGGCAGCGCGGTAGCAGTTGGCCTTTCTTTCTTTTGCCTTCTGGCATCAGGGGGTGATTGGATCATGTAAGATCATGTAGGTTTAGTACTACACGTTTGACCACCATACCTATCCAAAGATGATGCCCCACTCTGAGCAAGGAATAAGCATCCTATCTATCGGCTACGTTCCAGAGCGCCGGGCATCAGCCAGGCTGCCCCAAAGGATGCCTGTACGCACCACCTATTCAACAAGCACAGAGGTGGAATGGCTTGGCAGACGCAAGCTTGTGCACTCCTTGAAATCTTCATGGAAGTGGAAGGCATGGCCCCTTGCTGGTGCCATGCACCTCCATCGATTTTCAGAGAGCGTCTTCTCCTTTGCAAAGAGGGCTTGTCCACTTGGGGCGTTTTTCCGCCTCACCGGGAGTGCCACGGCGCAGACCGATGTCCGCTGTTTCGAGTCGCCCCACCGATTCACCGGCCCGACGGCGGCGGCATCGGGCAGGTGAAACGGCTTAAGAAGCTTTCTAGTAGCTTCTTGTTACTAGAAGTAAGGCCAGGAGCCCTATTCGTAGCGTCCTTGCTCCTAGTAGCGATGCCAGGAGCCCCGATCGTAGCTTCTTGTTCCTAGTGGCTCCTTGTGATGTTCATAGTAAGAATGCTCTTTTCGTCGCGATGCCAGCCCCGTTCGTAGCGTCCGATCGCTCCGATCGTAGTAAGGCCAGGAGCCCCGATCGTAGCTTCTTGTTAGGCTTTGTGCTTTTCTGTGCGCGACTTGTTCCCAACATCGAAAAAGGCAGGAACTTGAGGCCTCAGCTTGTCGAGCTTCCTGAGGCCTCTTCCAAAATCTTCGGTGAGCGTTCCAGAAGTTTTTCAGCCCAAAGCGGCTGAACGGGGTGTAGATTGGAGAGCTTCAAGGGCTCTCAGCTGGAAGAACCAGGGTTAACCCCGTCTTGGACCAAACGATTCCGTTGAGTTCTGGACGACTGGGAGATGACCATGGCTGGGAGATATCACGAAAGGTAGCTTGAGCTACCTGAGTTCTCCTTGCTTTAGCAAAAATGTATTACAATCAGGAGTTGGGATTGTGCATTGAATTTGGTCCTGTAAGAGTTGATTCTGTTCGTCGGGGGGGGGGGGGGGGGCCCCCCCTGGATCAAATCCCCCCTGCGCCGGTTCACGCCGTCGTGGACTTCTACCAGGGTTACTTGTGATTGCCTGCTACCTTTCGTTCACCCCCTCCTCTCTCAAGTCATTCATGGCCGGTCTATATACATGGCCGCCAGTTCGATCGCTTGACCGTGAAATGAGCTTGTGCAGCCGCGTGAATGACATTTCTGGGAGTTGCTGGGGGTTGTTGCTTTTCCTCCAAGGCAAGTGAAGAAGGAGAAAATATATAGACCACTCAAAAGTTAGAGAAACATAATATGCTTCTGCAACTGCTGAGCGAAGAACAGATCCTCAAGTCATACAAAACTGTGTGAAAGTTTAATTTTCTACGAAACAGTTCATGTTATTGTATGCTATTGTTGTCACTGCATTCGTCCAGGGTTACAAGGTGAGTAGGGCTGCCACAGTTGGGCCAAAGGCGTTCACATCTTCTGCAACGAGGCATGCTGCCAAAACAATCAACCACAAGGGTGGCGGGGAAACTTAACATGTGTTGTCAAGCGATCCGTGGGGCGCGAGATAGATGTGTGTCGGTTATGCAATCCTATTTGTGGCAAGTAGATCTCCTATCACGGTTGAACAGAATTGAACCAATTGAACAACAGACCAACATCATGGACATGCAGTTCTCGGGATGAAACGGTATCTTGTTGGTCTTGTGATCTCTACTGAATCTCTACCCCTGAGAATGGACGTGTCAGAACAGTAGAAGATGCCGAAATGACAGTTGTTGGTTTCGCCGGGTTCCGATGTGTCGTCTTCAGAACCGGTAGGTACAACCCTCCAGTGATCTCGACGAAGGGCATGCAGCTTAGCTGAGAGAAAGAGGGACGTCTGATGAGATTTCATGAGCAATTTCATCATGAGTTCTCCAAAGAGAGGAAGGCTGTGGGCCATGTGACAGGCACGACTTCTCAATTTCAATGCATATTCCGCACGAACCCATAGCAAATTCCATTCAATCTAGACTCAAACTGAAAACAGTTGGAAGAGTTTATCGGAGAATGTTTTGTTGGACGGCTTCCGCACCGCTGTGCCTTTCCCTACCTGAGTAAACTCTACAGACTACACACGAATAGGTTGCTGCTCGAAGCGCAATGTCCAATACATCTGGTTTCTTCGCAGCTGACGACAGGCTACTGGCACTGGGCCTGTTGAGTCAGAGCTGTGTACAGGCCCAACCGTCTCCAGCCTCACTCTTTCTTTTCTGGGTCCGGTCTGGGGAAGGGACTGGTGCCGGGCCCCATACGTGGAAAAAGAACATGCAGCTCACATGCGTGGGTCGGAAACGGAGTCGAAACGACCGTCGGGTTGACCGTCGGGCTTTAGGTCCGTGATTAGAAACCAATGAGTCATGTTGAGCGTAAACCGTTGCATCCATCCCATGACAGGACTCCAGGCATGCCGTGGCGAATGGACAGCGCGCTCGCGCTCTCCTGAGTGTGTCATAGACCGGAGGGGCTTAAGGAAGCGTCCTGGGACCGGGCGCGCCAATCGTTGCATGGTCATGTGGTGAAACATGATGCTACATGGGTGGGCATTTCAATAGGGACAACCCATTGGTTTTGAATTCCTTTATTCCTTCTTCCAGAGGATTGAGCTGGGGTGAGACACCCCTCTTCAATTGCACACCCGCTCCGGGCCTAAGGCAGCCACCCCGTCCAAGAGAACGCGGAAGTCGATGAGACGGTTTGCAACCCTGGAACTGCTTCAGGTCACAGGGCTGGTGACCTTCAGCAGATTGGTGACACGTTCGAGTTCGCATGTCTTTGAGCCACGGTGGTTCACATGTGAGCGATTTGGTTCACAAAACTGCCCTGCCCGAAGAAGTGACATCGATGGGCGAGCTTGGGCTCGGAGCCTGTCTGTTTCTTTTGTATTTCTCTGCATGCAGCCTTTCAAGAAAGGCTATATGATACACCGGGAAGGCTATATGTATGTATTTTTCCTCTCAGTCTCCTCTGAAAGATGTTTTGTCCTTTCAAAGCTGATGACGGATGACTCATAGATCAAGTTTCTTCGCCTTTTCTGGAGACCTTTCTGCTTCACAAACACTTGGCCATTGAGGCTTAGTCGAACTGGAACACCAAATCGAACGGCAGGGAGTCTAGCCGCAACAGCTCAGTCCGCCATTCGTCAAGAACTCAGGTGGAGGTGCACCGCGTGTCGCCCGAGGAGGAGGAAAGGTGGGGAAGAGGGGACGATCGGAAGATGTGACAATTCGACTACTGCAGATGCTCGTGATGTCCCACCTTTTTGGGTGAGCTCCTTTGACTCCTTGACCACGACCGGGGGTCCATGGACTGCCACTTGTATTATGTTGTATAATGAGATGTAATGTTAATCACTCGTATCTCCCACTTTGCATATTAACCATATCAAATCAATGTTGGACACGTTCTCGCTCCGCAATCTTGGACACGTTCTGCTTCCGCATTTTCCGCCAGGCGCTATTTTGCCAACATGGTCGGCGACTTTGCAGGCGTTTCCATCAGTCTTGTCACGACAAACAGCAAATCTGTTGCTCATAAGTATCAGTTCAAGGAAACCTTCCTAGAAAACCGACCCCAAACTGTGGACACGCTGTAAACATAGGTATGTATATATATATATATATGCATTACCGTTCTCGCACACACACACACACACATATATATATATAGAGCTCTCTCTCTCTATATATATATATATCTGCCTCTCATTCTTTCGTTTGTGTCGAATACCTCAGTTGTTTTTTGCTTTTCTGTCTTCGACCGCTCCGCCGCAGGCGTCCCCAGCAGCGTGATGGAAACAGCGTTGGTGACCCAGCGGGGAGAGGTGACATTGGGTTGAACAATTAGTAGAGCGACCCCACAGAGAAAGAGCATTCCAAACCACTCCTGTCCATGCTTCGCGTGGGGTCTCTCAAAGTTGTCCTCAACAAGGAGCCAATTCTCCATGAATACCAGCACTCTGGGAACTCAAAAGCTGAGAAATCCCACGTTCGGGTCCTTTTCGAACTGGAGTTTTCGATCGTTTTTGTGCTAACTTGTTGGTGCGGATGAAGGATTTGCATCTTCAGAGTGTCTGATGGTGTCTGAGGTGGTCTGACTGAACTACTCCTTTAGTCTTATTCATTCTGCGCCAGACATCCACATTGAGGCGTCCGAAGCCGCAGGTGGCCTACGAATGGAGCAACTGACTCCGGACATCTTCGCCTCCGACTGGGCAAACTTCCGAAAACGCGTGGCCGAAAACGAAACGACCGCAGCGTGGCGGACGGAGATGGACTGAGGAGTTCAGAGGTTTCTTCTCCAGTTCCATGTCGGAAGTTAGACCCAAGAAGTGGGTGGGCACCCCGGAACGCAAGGAAGCCACCGCCCCTTGCAAAGAACTCCTGGAATAGTTCCATGGATCCTGCGCTAGACGGTTTGGGGACGCTTAGTGTCAGACTAGGCCGAAATTTCTGGGCCAGACAGAATCAAGCAGTTGGCCGGTTGAAATATAGAGCGCAAACTCAACGAAGAGGTCAGGCGGGGGATCTCCATGATGTGTTCTGCTTTGATACTGGCGGGTGTCTCATGGGTTCAGTTTAGGTTGGCGCGTCCCAGGAGGATTCGAGGAAATACCCCTAGGAGGATTCGGTTATCACAGGTGAGCGGAGATGATACTTTGTGTGTCGGACATGAGACTGTGGACACACACACACACCTCCAAACGCATCCCACCCACAAGGTCTGCCGCTGATGCTTCAAAAACCAAGCATAGATTAGAGATGATTAGAGTGAGAAGAACATATGTTGAAGACACAGTTCTTGCACAACTGAAGAACAGAATTGAAACGGTGTCTTCCATCCACAACTGAAACTATTATTGGATCTATTGATGCAGGACACTCTCTTGAAGGCCGTAGATATGGCCAGATCCAATAATCATAATAAGGAAGCCGCCATGCTGTAAGTAACATCAGATGCAGCGCCTAACTATACTATCTGGACGTCTTGAAATCGCCTAGTAGGGAATGTTTCGTCGATGGCTGTGGGCTTCATGGTTCAGCCTTTTCATGGTTCGCCCTAGCCTAGCGTATTTGGGCGGGCTTGAGGTCGGGCAGGCCAAATTGGCCGCTACATCAGAAGCCAAGGGTTGGCAGAGCTACCGCTTCGTCAATGACTTCCCAGATGTTCCAGTCGTGGTTGTCATGCCAGGCGCCTCTGACTACCTCACGGACCCGAGCAGTGTTCGACTCCGAAACATTAGTCGCACCCATTTCGAGGCGTCGATCGCAGAGCCGTTGGGGAGAGATGGCAGTCATCCTGGAATGAACTTCAACTACATTGCTATGTCCCAGGGCATTTTTCTGGTCAATGGGTCCACCTTTGAAGCAGGAGTGTTGGACATCAATGAACGGCAAGCAGCGAGTTGCCGGCCTTTGGCCTTTCCAAATAAGGCCTGGGCGGAGGTGAGGTTCCAGCACAACTTTTCACAAGCGCCGGTCTTCCTCACCTACATCCAAAGCTCCAATGGTGAAGTCCGAGCCTTGCCCACTGAAACGCCCTCCGAGCCGTGGCTTACGATGGCCGTGACAGCGCTGTCTGAGAGCTCAGCTCTGGTGGCCTTGGACTCGAACACTGCCCCATCGGAGACTTTGCATGAGACACCCTAAAGAGAGGGATCTAACACCCCCAGGTGGGCGGGAGAATGGGCATAGCCTGAAACAGGAACCCAGACCTCTAGGATGAGGCGATTTGCGACCTTGGACTCCCCGACCTGGAATCAGCAGCAGGGTCAAACGTGGGCCAGAAAACATCAGAATACCATGAAAAAACAAAAATATAACTTCCGGGAGTTCCAAAGGGATGGACTTTAGACCCTAAGTGCGTGTACAATCGGCCAAAAATAGGCACCACTTTGCCCTGCCTATCATTTGACACTGCTTCAGCCTCACCAGCCCAAG